CATTTACCCAGAATGCTTTGTGTGGAAATAAAATGGCTCCGTCCGTGTTAACATATATTTTTAAACCTTTAGTTTAAACTAAACATCCTACAGTATTTTTACAGTCTTTATTTTACAGTTAAAATAAATGTTTATCAAATAAAGTCTAATGTTACAACTAATCATGGATCCCTTTAAGTTAATGATCCAGTAAAGGAAAAAAGATGTACAATTACCACAGAGTATTATTTATATAATGAYTGAGGGATAGAGYTGTTTGATGTGCAAACACAAACATGATGCTTATCGAGACGGTTGGGAGCAGTGATGGTAGAGTCTAACAGCTGATGGGAGGAAGGATCTGTGGTAGCGCTCCTCTGTGCATTTAGGATGCAGCAGTCTGTCACTAATAACAAGAGTCCAGAAAAACTTCTATAGAGATTAAATATGAACTTAAAGCTCAAGGAACATCAGTGTCAGGTTCAACCATCTGTCCTTGTTTGAGACAAAGCTTCAACTAAATATTAAATTAAGTTTTATCATTTCTGTCCAGGTCTGATTCAGGAGATTCATTTTTAAAATAATTCTGTTCAATCATGGCTGAAAAACAACGTCTGACTTTCATTTGTTCATTTTTATAGAATGTTTATTTTTTATTTTTGTCAAATTCAAGTTATTTCTGGGACACTTGTGTGTTTTTTCTTTCTTTAAACGAGGGTTAACAACAGTTTTGTTCATGTGTGCATCCTGTAGRGYGGAGGTCAAAGACCTGCAGCAGCTTTAAGGGATGCTGGATGATGAAACTCTGATGTTATTCCTGTTACTGAGTTTAAATCTGATGGGAAGACTCTGAGTCAGACGCAGATTTCAGACACTCATAAAAACATTCACTGATGATTAAACACCTCTGAATAAATACAAACGAACTTCTTGGCAGCTCTTCTGCTTGTCGTGAGTAAAAACAATAAAAGGAATAAATTAGTGTTTCTCTTTTTCTCTGCATGTTTCAGACGTGTGTTTGTGAGGAAGTCCAGAAGAAAACTAAAGTTTAGTTTTGAGCCAAAGAGCTGCAGGAGTTGATTAGAAACACCATGGCGCCCTCCAGTGGTCGCACACACAACCTCAACTAATACACCATCTTTAAATCTTTATCAATCAATCAATCTCTTTATTTAGACACAATTATGGTCCATAAAAAACAGACAAAACAAGAACAATAAAAAAGAAGAAAAATAAAAAATATATAATGAAATAATCAATCACTGACATATAAACTAAAGCACCAATGATTCCACAAACTGGAGAAGGATCTCACTGAGCTTTGAACAGGACTGGTCAGAGTCTGTTAATCTACACACACATCTGTGCAGAATGTATGGAAGCACAACAGCACAGGCTGGTACACTGACGTTCACAAACATCTGACTGGCACCACACCATCGGGACTGACACTGCACCATCGGGACTGACACTGCACCATCGGGACTGACACTGCACCATCGGGACTGACACTGCACCATCGGGACTGACACTGCACCATCGGGACTGAC